TTTTTTTTTTCTAGTTATAGAACATGCTTTTAGGGTGTACAATTGTGAGGCTTTGGAAAAACATTGTGAGCCTGTTTTCATATAATTGCTTAGGTTAAGAGAAAGTAAAGCATGAAAAAGAAAGGACCAAGAAATTACATACTTGTTCTTTCAGTAGAGGAAGAGCTCAAGTGATGCAGATAATTAATGAAAACCAAAGAATACTTTGTTTGGCCGTAAGAGTAAGGAATAAGATCTTATTATTAATTTCTGGAATTTCTAAACCTAGACTGCCCCTAAATGTCATTATTCTCTTAATAAGATTGTTGTACGGAAATTATTTCTATATGGCTTCATTGTGCAAGAACTTAACGATGTGTGATTTTCTGGAAGGAGCGTGAGCTAAAAGTAATGGACTATTATGACCTGACTGAATTTGTCCCTTTAATTTGTTTGCCCAAGGTTTAGCCGTGTTATTCATTGATTATTAAAATTTGAAAATGTCACAGCAATAAATTATTAGTGGCTTTGCAATTTTTACCCCCCAAACTAATTTGAGTGAATCATTATGGACTTTTCCTTTATATTGTCGTTCTGGTTTTTTTCCTATGGGTTCGATTAATTTAGTAGTTCATGCATGATATGACAAGGTCGAAATCCATTTGATCTAGTTTTCTGAGTGAAAAGATCAGTCGCCTTGTATAATTGTATTGCAGTTCATTGGAAATGTGCATGGTGATGAACCTGTAGGCCGCGAACTTCTGCTGCTTCTAGCAAATTGGCTTTGCAATAATTATATGAAGGACCCCTTGGTAATAATTTCTAGTGTCTTTTTTTTTTTTTAATTTTTCCCCCCTTCTTCAAATTCTACATGCTTTACTTGAAGTAGAATCCTACTTTTGTATCTTACTATAAGTTTAAGATGAGTGTTGATGTCATAAAAAATCTTACTTTTCCAACGTGGAAATTATGCTCTCTGAATCTGGTGTCTGGTTCTGCTCTTTTAATTACAATTCTTGGATGACAGTAATGTCTTAAGGGCTTTCTGGCTAGCAAGTACGGCAGCATACAGGATCATTTGCATAGTTTGATGTATTTGGGATAATATCATGTACATGTCTGGCTTGTTCTCCTGATAGAGACATTAAACATTTTCTTGAGTCAAATGATCAGGATATCTTTGTCAAATATCAATTTAACTTGAGTCAAATATTTTTATTTGGTACTGACATATTATGCTTAGTGTCTTATATGTGTGCACATTATGTAGTGCTTGCAGCGTGGAGTAATTTTAGCATGTTTCTGTTGGTAGGTGACCTTGATCGTTGATAATGTCCACCTTCATATACTTCCAACCATGAATCCTGATGGATTTTCTCTGAGGCGGCGTGGTAATGCAAACAGCATTGATTTAAATAGAGATTTCCCAGACCAGGTATAGGTGCTGCTGCTGCTGCATTATATTACAAACTTTTGAAAAAACATATACTCTGGCTGGATGAAAATTACACTGTTTTACTTTAAAGTCTGCCTTCTGGTTTACGCTTTTGGCTTTATAAAAATAATGAAACTTTACTGCTGTCTGTAAACATATATGGTCCCCAGCTGGTTTCAGTGAAATCGCGATTTCATTAGTATCCGTTCTTCAGCTTCTAATAAATTGTCATTTGATCATTTGAATCGTGGGATTCCTCAGACATATTAGAAATGTATGTGCTGGGATGCGGACAAGTTTGATTGAAATGAAAAATACTTTATCCTGGAGTTAGAAATAACTTAGATTTTCCACTTTGGCAGAAAGCTGAAATGGAGTAATAGTTTCAATTGGAGTCCAAAATGCTGAAATGTGAAGAATAAAACATAAGCTAGTCATTCATTGAACTAAATTTGGTTTCCAGAATTCTTTTCGAGAATTCATTTCATAAGCTTTGCACTTGATAGGATTCAAGTTTCAGTTGTAAATGAAACCACACTGCTATTCTTTTACATTAGTTTTTTTCTTTTCTTTCCTTCTACTTCATGTTTTGTTTCGGCAAACAACTTGACTATATTGTTGTTTTCATAGTATCTGAAACCATTCATTATATAGAGCATAGACTGACATGATTGACATAGTTTTTTACCATGAATGATGATATGGACTCACGGCAACCTGAAACAAAAGCAATCATGAGTTGGACGGAAAATATACACTTCACAGCATCTGCCAGTCTGCATGGGGTAAAATTCATCCTTGAACCTTGACAAGTTTAAAAGTACATTCAAAACTTTGTCCTGTAGTGAATTTAAATCCCATTTCATCCTAGTGGAAAGCATAATTCTTTTGTTTGCTTGATTCGTCTTCCATAAATAGCTTCATGTTTTCAGGTACATGTGATGCAATATCCGTCACGAGAATTTTCTGAAAGAATATTGCCTTATTACTTTTGGTGCAATATCTCATCAACTACAAAAATTTAATGTTCTTTTTAATACTTTATTGCACCTTGTCAATATCATTGTTTTCTGCTTCATTTGATTCCTCAGAACGGACAGCTTTGTCCGTACTGGACTGGTTACATTTTGAGTATCTTGCAATGTGTTTCACATGGACATAAAACATGTTTGAAATGTTTAATGAATAATGGGTGGGTTGGGGAGAGGAGTGGTTATGATAATGGAGGTGACTGACTTAGAGAGATCAAGGATTATTTATTATAGATGTTATGTCAAAATACTTACTTTCGGGATAGTGTGTATATGACATACACTCACTAACAGCCAAAAGCAATATATAACTTTGAGAAGAGAATTCTAATATTAGTGTTTACAATTGTTAAGATCACTTCTTTAAACTTTCCTTTTTTGCAGGGGGCACTCGTTGCAAATTACCCATGGGATGGAACTGAAGATAAAAAGTGAGTTATCGACTGGTATTAGTTTAAATTCTCTGTGATGTTGTACTTATTTTTTCTTTTAGATTTTATTTTCTCTCCTTTTGTTATATCATTTGTTGTAAATACTTTCTTGCCTTCGACATATGTTCTGGTATATGGCTTACAATCGTATGTTCACTCTAGTCTGTATATTAATTGCTTTGGTTCCTATCATATGCATTCTTTGTAGTATCCAGTGGCCAAATTTCTTTTGCTTAGTTTATCGTGTTTTTATTTTCTATCTCTTTTAATATCCTCAAGAAGAATTAATTGATGTTCGGGAATATACAGGAGATATTACTATGGATGCCCTGATGACCAGACTTTCAGATTTTTAGCCAGTTTATACAGTAGATCCCACTATAACATGTCCCTAAGCAAAGAGTTTCCAGGAGGGATAACAAATGGAGCATTTTGGTATGCTTGTAACTAAAATCACAAGTTACATTCTGGCCACTCCTTCAAACATAACTATAGTTTATGGCTTCTTTCTACACTCCATTATAAACATTTTAGGTAATTTGCATTGAAACTCGATGTTTTCCAAATTTCCTACTATCTGATGCACTTTGTAGGTATCCGATATATGGTGGAATGCAAGATTGGAATTATATTAATAGTGGATGCTTTGAACTTACACTGGAGATTAGCGACGACAAATGGCCCAATGCTACTGAGGTTGGACATTTGTCTAAGTTGTCTGCACATTAATCTTTCGTATATCATATTCTTTTTTAAGTTTATATCTCCACAGTTTATGGTATGCCAGTTTAAGGTCGTCGGATTCATGTTCTTTCAACAACTTGATATTAAAGACATTTCGTTCTAAAAATTCTGGGTGCAATGACCTTGGAGTGGAGTATTATTATATTTTTATTTTATTTTTTATTTATTTTTTATTCCCGATGATGGGACCCTGTGTTACATCACAATTCTTGATGCAGGCTTTAGGTCCCATTATTTCACCATTTTGTTTATCTCTGTGATTTGTTATACTGGGCAGTTTCTGCTGTTCTTTTGACTTTGGTACTATGTTGCATTTTCTTTCCGGTCCTCGTTGCATTCTCTACTATTCTAGCTTCCAACTCTATGGGAATACAACAGAATGAGTATGCTAAACCTTGTTGCCAGTTTGGTTAAGGTATGTTCAAAGCCTCTGAATGAGTAAATTCATAAGTATATGCTTGTCTTCCCAACAATCAATCTGTTTTTTCCTTCCAAAAAATGATCTTTTTGTGTGGTTCATCCTTTTAGTGTTAGTGGCCATCTCTGGATGATTTTTAAGTAACAACCATGATTACTTTTGTCTAATTGTATTCTATGCTTTTGTTGATCATGCTTTTGAAACGTAAAACTCTTAGGCTTTTGTCTGGTTTGTGATCGGGTGAAGTTCCGAGAAATACTGTGTCTTGGTAGAAAAATGCATTGTGAAGCTGCACTGGAAATTTCACATAAATGAGTTTTTATTCCCAAATTTTTGTATTTTGGTCAAAATTGGTACTTCTTGAAGCATTTGTTTTGTGAAAGTTCTACACTTCAGTTGTTCTTCGCTTCCTATTGCTTGGACAGCTAGATACAGTTCATACAGTTCTTTTTGCTCTGTGTTAGGAACCTATCCATAAGTGCATTCTCACCATTGTAATGTAATGAGTTATACCTTATGCTGAGTTGTACTTCTTAATCATACAGACAGGATTACATGGACAGATTTCTTCTTCCGATAATGGAAGACCTTTACCAGCATCAATAGCTATAAGGGGGATAAACTCTACGGTATCTGCTTGATGTTTATTTAACACTGTTCAGGCTAATTGGATGATGAAAAAGAAAAAGAAAAGTCGTATAATTAGGGACCTCAGCATCTGAATATTATTACGAATGGGTCATTATTGCAGTCTCAGGCCCAATTATAGTTAATACCGCACCTTCTACTTAGATATTTTATGGTATTAAGGCATCTAATCATTTTGTTTATAAGACACTCACAAGCATTATTATCTAATTACCAGTACTTAGTATTATAATGATTGACAGGTTGCTGCTACCAAGAAGCTTGCTGATTACCATCGTGTGCTAGCTCCTGGCGGAAAGTATGAAGGTAAACTGATTTGAGACGATCTTTCATTTCCTTGTTCTCCTTTAGTCTTATCGTTTGTTGAGGAACTTAAGAGCTCATACTTGTCAAAACTTCTAGAGCCTAATTGTAATCTCACTATAATGTCAAGACTCAAGACACCCGAAATTTGTATTTTCTTGCCTTGTGAAATTTATGTGGTCTGCATCCTTCATGTAGTTACCCCCTGTATTTAGCTATCTGGTACATAAAAAAAATACCATATAAAAAAAGTAATTAAGTTTTATGTAAAACCGCTGTGCAGTTGATATATATTAATTTTTCTTGGTCAGTCGAATTGCATGTTAACCAGTTGAACATGCATGCTTGCATCTGATACAAGCCTACAACAGAACTTAAAATTTAATCAGAAGGCACTCAAAAAAAAATAAAAAAAATAAAATAAAAGTAAAATTGTCTTCTCCACTTATACACCCATATACAGTTACTGCAGCTTTAGATAATTAGTAACATTTTACAGATGGTGCCTTCAGAGATTGAAGATTTAGATTTGTAAACACCATTACAAAGTAACAGAATTTGTAAGATATATGAGAGACAATCTCATGTGACCATCTGCCTTGCAACTTTTGCAAGAAATCGGAACAAAGTTTTAGAAACTAATAATAATAATAATAATAATAATAATAATAATAATAATAATAATAAAAGAAAATAAATATCAATTATTCGATTGTTTCATTCCTAGCATTCCATTTTGACTTTCTTGACCTGTTCTCTAAGATGCATTTTGCCATTCCCTTTTGTTGCAGTTATTGCAACCATGCCGGGATACAGACCAAAGAGTGCTTGTGTTGTACTCGGGCAGAGCGCAGTTACGGTAGATTTTATTCTTGATCCCGAGACTAACTCTGAGGGTAGCAAGCCTTTAGAGGATTCCGGCTGCTATTTTGACAACACAATCGGAGTTCAAGTAATGGACTTTATGCCCGTGCCGCGTTTGGAAATCCCTGTAATATTTATTTTAATGTTGGGATTTCTTTTCTTCTTATTGAAGAGGAGAGTAAGATCGAATCATCTTAACCAAAAACAGACGACACCAGTGTCCAAACGAGCTGTCGTATGATATAACTAGATTCATAGATCTGTATGTTGTAATTCTTAATTGTATTACTCTTTTTTTTTTTTTTAATTATTTTTCCACCAGTTATATAATCATTTTCACAATAGGGGTTAACCTCAGGTAAATTTTTATTACTACTTTTGATGTATACTTTAACTTCAGAGACTTGGCACCTCTGTTTGAGGAAAAGTTACAATTTAGAGGCGCATTTGACATTAGATGAATAATATATTTTATGAATAATATATTTTCCATTTGTTTCTTATGTTTGAGATTTGCTTTTTCTGAACAATATGTTTGCTTCACATCTAACCATTAGTTGATCATATTTTTTATTTTATTTTATTTTATTTTATTTTATTTTTATTTTTTGGGTGTATGAATATTTTTTGTCCTCAAATATCATACTTGAAAATATGTTTGATTATATTAGAACCATCTTTGATCCATTGATAGCTATTTACTTACCAAGTAAAATTTTATTCTGACATTGTTCTAAAATAGATTCACAAGCATATACTGGTTGGTTGATTACATCATATTAACAAAAGCCTTAAAAGCATACCAATTCTACATTTCTCAACAGATAATAAAAGTGAACTGGAGACTTCTTCAAGGCAACAGCAGATTGCAAATTCATTAAAACCTTGACGTAAATATGGATTTGGAACCTCAAAATGCTGAGCAACAAAGAACGAAAAACGAGGGAAATTTAAAAGCTTCGATCGCAGATGTACAACATTCGGATGATCGACCCTACGTGTAATCAAGTGCGCGTTAACGCTCCCAATATGATGCATCCTGCAAATGGAGCCCAAAGAAACTTAAAAATGCCCATAAAAGGTTTCTTTTTTTTTTTTTTTGTATTTTGGAAAGGAGAGGGAAGAACAAGAGAGGGTCGTTTATAGAAAAAAAAACGGTAGGGTTGATGTTAAACAAACACAACGATTAGGCAGGGCACAATTTTTTTGATAGATGTGTTTACTTTCATAGTGAGATAGCATACCGTAAAAACAACATTTAAAGTGAACAAAACTATGACATTTTGCATCATAATAGGCATTTTTTGTTCGAAACATATGACGGGTCTGCCTAATGGTTAGGTTGTCTCACAACAAACTTTGTTGAAATCGAAATAGGCTGACTAAGATCTTACGGAAGGAGTCGAGATTTGGTTTAATCGTATAAATTCCCATACTCCAACTTGTGAAACCCATTTCTATATCCTTAGTTTCCTCTCCTTTTTTGCATTTTGTTTATATATTTTTTTTTTTTTTTTTTGTTAATTATTATGCCAAGAAACAAACATGGAAATTTGCTTACAAATCAACCCTCACCTCTCCTGATCTTAGCAGCCCCATCCCGGAACCAAGCCCCACATCCGTGATAATATCCTCATGTTCAACCTCGGCATCAGTGAAAGTGAGAGCTCTTTGCAACTTCCTAGGAGAGAATACTTCAACTTCCACCATATACGTGGCTGTCACTGGCCGGTGGTCCGATAACCTGACTTCACATCTCCTATAGTTGAGCAGCCTTATTCCCGTCCCAAAGCTTAGAATGCGATCGCACCTTGAGATTATATGAATATATAAGAAAATGCTCATTGCTAAGAGATCTACACGTGCTTTCTACTAAGCTTTTAATCAGTCATGCACACTGTATTGTGAGCAAGCAAAAATGATGCACATACCAAGCTGGTGTTCTTCTCCCAGCTCTTGGATCCTCGCCGATGTACGACTCAGAATTCAACTCATACTTGTAAGTTGGAGCGAAGTTCAGAGTCCCTTCAGACCACCCATCAAATGCACGGCCTTTCTTAAACTCTTTGCCTAACTGTAAAGGAAAATAATAATATTGCAGAATCTCAGAGGAAAAAAGGAAAAGAATAGCAGAAGCTAAATTCATCAGGAACGTGGATTTACTGCAGTCGGTCAATAAGTACTAATATTGTTTCGCCTATGAACCATTATTCAATTAACAAATTACAACATTAATATGCTGTGTCAATTTTACAGGAGCTCTGGTTGGTTGTCCGTAGTTAAGAATTGGAGACAAGTGGGTCAAGTTACCCCTAGGGAGATTGTACTGTATCTAGAAACACTTACCAATAGTTAATAACTAGACAAACCAGAAAAGCATTCAAGTGATGTCATTTTAGCATTCCTGGCTTTTCTGTTAAATTAGGGATCAGAACAAAAATCATTCACCTGATCCGCCTCGAGTAACTTGGACCAGTCCTTTCTGGAAATCAGGTTTCGTGTCTGATCATAAGACAAATTGATGCGATAATTTAGGTCCCCCAGCCAAATTATTCTCCTGTAACAGATAAAGGTTAGCTTAAATAATTGGCACCCAGAAAGAAGAGCCAAAAAATGGAGAAATGGATATATTGAAACTGTAATTTTCTTACAAATTTATTGCACACGTCATATGAGGGGGTTGATTCACACAAAACTAGTTAACATGAGTCATGACTAAAGGTACTTAGATGTAAATGGTTTTTACAAACCAAACAACGAGTGACCTTGTTGACACCTAGTACATTCCTAACACGAAAATCTTGAGAATGGATTTGAAGTCGTTTTTAATGTAACAATAAAAGGGGCAGCAAGTAAGTTGGGTTTCTCTGCTTTATTTGACATATTATAAAATAGATTTCAGTTTAGTCCCAGAAAAGTGAACCAATTTTATTATCCTGCTTTCGGACCAGCGTCATTTACGAGTAATAGGTAGAAGTTTGACATTCCCTGAGGCCAAAAAGGACACACACACACAACCAAAAAAAAACAATAGATAAGACAGAATATGCATACTCATGATCATATATTCTTCTTGGGAGCCCTATAACGGAGAGAGAATTGAAGCGTGTCCGTCTATGAATGTCATAGACATCTGCATTTCTCTTGACTGCATCCGCATCTTTCTCTCCCGATGTTAGATGACTACAGATGAAACAGCACAGTGTCTGATGCACAGACATGCTAACTGATATTGATCCCTGGCGAGAGGCGAGGGACGATGAGTTTGCTTAGTGAATGACTATAAGCAACTCTATAAAACATAAGAGTAACAATATAATACAACATAATAACGAAAAAATAAAAAGTCAGACACAGACTGAATTTTAGAAATTTATCAAACACAATGAGGTATCATGAAAAATCAGAATAAGCACATCACAGAATAAATGTTGACGTCAAAATAAACTGGAGAACACATCCAGGTCAGATTCGCCCACTTCGCACCTCAAAAGAACAGAATATATTCTCAAACTGTGATTATTGAATAATATGTATGCGAATTATAACTGTAAATTCATTATATACATGTGTAACATGCCTTTCCTCCAGCAGGACTTACTTGGTCATGGCTAAAATAAATTGCTATACAAGAGAAATTGGACCTTGTTTATTAATACGAAATTATGACAAAGGGATCAAGTAAGAACAAACCTTGTTGCCAATATAGCCCATGACACCAACACCAACAGTAGACACGTTCACGTTCTGTATATGCCGGCGCAAGCTCCTGCGGACCCATACAGTGATAAATACCCCGACCATTTGCTTGCTTACTATTCTGACATACTGCGGACGCCTTTTCCTGTTGATTATGGACTCAAGGTCAACTTCCAAAAGTGACCCTATGTCAGGCCTCATTCTATTTTCACCCATCACGTTGGACTTGAAAGAGTTGTACGTCCTGAAAGATTTTGAACTTTTGAAAGATTTATAAGACTGAAAAGAATTAGGCTTCTCCAGGACATGCTTAGGCAGAAGATGAAGTGGTGGCTCTGGCCAGCTCAATCCTATCCTCTCTGTCCCACTAAATGTTTTAATTAATTTACGATTGTACTGAGAATTTGGGCCTTCGTTATTTTCTCCATCCTCTTCTGTCCTTAGGCAATTCAATCTGTCCAGCCTCTTGGGAGAAGAAAATTGCCTGGCCAGATCTGGTTCCACTGGCTGGCCCTCATCTTTAAAGAAAGAGACATCAGTTCTTCCTTCAACTAATTCCCCATCAGTTTCGGAAAAGACATTTGGCTCCTCATTCAACGGGTAGATTTCTTCACCAATATCACTCTCAGATTCGAGTAGGATTTCGTCTTCTATATCTGGGGCATCTTCATCTGGCTTGAACCTTGATGGAGAAGGAGGGTCACTGAAGCTTTTGAACTTAGTTACTGGTTGAACTCTGTTAAGAGCTTCACGAATTATGTTTTCCCATATGGCGATCGGACGGCTATCTTCAGCACCAAAAATATTTCCGGCATTTAACGGAATGATCTCCTGCAGGCTGAAAACAGATAACAGATGTTGATATGAAATGAATTCGATATATCTTGATAGGATCACAACAAATGTACAGAACGGCAAGATAAAAAAATAAAATAACTAAAATATTTGAATTGGCAGTCCAAGATAAACGACTCTGGGTGTGCACATAAACTTGAATTTACAGAATAAGATAATCAACTTACCCAATTACATAAATATCAGCAGGGTCATCAATATCTAACCAGCCATCGACATCCAGATCATCGGGAGGAACCCTTCCCCCAACATTCCATGTGGCGGCGCATACCCTTGAAAAGCCAAAGAAAATATAATGGAAATCAAAACCTCACTATTTCATGGATCAACAAAATTTCTTGTACATATATCTTATCAACATGCAGTAGTTTTGATCTTCAATAGCACACCTGATTTCCTTATTGTTTATATACTGAGCTCTAAATGTCTCCGAGTTGCGTCGTCTTAATTTGGGAAGAGTTGGGTCTGAACAGCGCATAAATAAACATTACTAATTTAATTCCTTTCTAAGTTGAAGAACAGTATAGACTAACTAAACTACAACCACAAACTAGAGTAGCATAATTAAAAGCAACTATGAAAGAGAAATATGTAAATAGTTCAAACTTGAACATCCTTCAGACGAGAAGTCACAAAAGTTATTTGCTAGTCATGTTGATACTTACGACAGGCACACATGGAGAAACACATATGCACATGAACACACATTATTTCAATTCATGCATACAAGTGAGACTAAGAGTCTTCTATATGTTTTACCTTAGTGACATGAACAGAAGCTATTCATGTGAGACATTGTTTTAATCATATCACTAACTGTGTTTTGTCTGAGATATTTATCAGTTCGATTACATGATATATCAGGAAAGAATACTATTTATAGTATTGAAAGAAAGTCATAAAAGTCAAGGAGTGTTGGATAGATGTGAAAATTGGAGACAGAGCTTCTTGAAAGTCATGTTTTCATGATAAAGCAACACAAGACCATGACTACATTTACAACCAAGACAAATGAACTAGCTCAAGGATTACAATAGTAAAGCTATCAACACTTGTACTTTTACATGTTTTTGGATAAAGCAACCTGAGTTGTTGGACTAAATATTGCCCTTTTTCAATATATATTATATAGTAAAACTAGTTGATAAAGCAACACGTGAACAATTGTCATACTTACACAAAAGAAAGTTAATCAACAAGCTCAAGTATTAAGATAACTCCCCATACTTTTCATATTTTTTGATAAATCATTCTGACCTGGCCATGGTGGATTCAAAATCCACGGCCTTGATCCACTCAGATTGTTGTATATAATTTTGTCGGTTTTTTTCACACAACAGACTAGATGGAAGTTCTTCAGGAAAGTATATATATGTACATATATGTATATATACACACTATTATATATTCATTAATTATTATTAATAATTATTATTATATATTCATTAGATAATCGATATCTCACCTTGCAGTTCACTCTTTAACCTGTAGTCAATTTGATAAGTGCTAGTCTACAAACAGTGACTCTGAAAAGTTAAGTCTTTACACTTCATCACTTTATAGATTGTCATTTAAAGAATCATTTATAGAGATTAGTACTTCAGTAAGAAAGATTCTAAACTCTGCAGACAGAATCAGCATAATGGACAGAAATAGATGTGATCCAAAAGATTCTTAAAACGAGCAGCCCCAAAAAGGTAAGTACCAACTAGGCCTTTTCATCTGCATTATTAAAACCATAACTAACTATGAAGTTCGTAAGTCCGAAAAAAGTGACCTAAATCCCCCAATTAAATCTAATCACCTCAAAATACTTAAAAGAAGATGAGTTAATAATAATAAAAAATAAAAAAGAATTATATGCTGCAATTCAATTTCAATAACACCAAATTCATACAAAAATGAGCATTTTTTTTTTCCCAAAATTGGACCATACAAATCAACCCCAATTCCTTTTTTTTTTTTTTTT